CCCAATAGGGCCCCAAGACGGCCCAAGAGGCGCCCAAGATGGCCCAAGAGGGCCCCAAGACGGGCCCAAGAGGGGGCCCAGAGGGGGACCACGAACCGCAAGCTCGAGCCTTCCGTCCCAAGAGGCCGCCAGGAGGCCCCCAGGAGGCCCCTCAAGAGGCCCCAGGAGACCCCAGACGTCCAAGGACGCCCCCAAGACGCCCCAAGAAGCCTCCAACATGCGTCCCAAGAGGGCCCCCAGACGCAAAAGTTGGCCCATTCCCTCCGTAAAACGTACATGTTCAACAAAGTTGTCTTTTGGGCTTTCCGACGTTACAGGACGGCCCAAGAGGCGCCCAAGACCGCCCCAAGACGGCCCAAGAAGCTTCCAATAGGGCCCCAGGACAGCCCAAGAGGGCCCCAAGACGGCCCAAGAGGCGCCCAAGATGGCCCAAGAGGGCCCCAAGACGGGCCCAAGAGGGGGCCCAGAGGGGGACCACGAACCGCAAGCTCGAGCCTTCCGCCCCAAGAGGCCGCCAGGAGGCCCCAAGGAGGCCCCTCAAGAGGCCCAGGAGACCCCAGACAGTCAAGGACGCCCCACTACGGCGGGTGAGGGGCTTCGCGTCACCAATTTCTTCTCACAGCGATTCCTGGGTCTGTGACTCGACAGAACCTAAGCGCGCGCGAAGCGCGCGCGTGGTTCTAGTATATATATATATATATATATATATATATCTTCGAGGACGGCTTAGAAAACTTCTCAGAAGGTTGGGGGACTTCTGAGCCTTCTGAGCAGGCCCGCCCCATCTACAGTGTCGGCGGCTTCCAATTCTCAGTGGGGCGCTGCGACCGTCATGAGGCATTTCCTCATCGCTCATGGTCGCACTGCACCTGCACCGACCCTGTTGAGGCCGATCCGGGGCTCAGGATAGGTGTGTGTGTGTGTGCGTACGTGTGTGTGTGACTGTGTGTGTGTGTGTGTTTGCGTGTGTGTGTGTGTGTGCGCGTGTGTGTGTGTGCCTTCCTGCCGAAGCCAGGAGGGCGCAGACACCGGTCCTGGGCCCAGGATGGGCCTGGCTGGGAGCGGAGTCCGGTGTATATAGCTGGTTGGTGCCCTCCTGCCATCTGCGGGCCCGCGGTGACTCCGTCGGCTGCGCTGCCCCCCTCGGCTGCGCGTGAGACCCACATCTCCATCGATGATGTGATCTTTCTGGCTGTTCTTCGTTCTCGATTTCGAGCCTCGGGGAGACGTTCTCGGGCCCCGGGACCTTCAATCACGGATCCAGGACTGGTCGGGACCTCTGGGGCCACCCGGGGAGCCACCCCTTGCTGCAGTGACCGGGGTGCCCCGATCGCTGAACACGATGATGTAGCAGCGGCTTGAGCGCTCGGGTTTAAACCCCTGCGGCCACCTGACGCCGCGCTTCAGAGGTCACTCTTGCCTAGTGCCGCTCTTGCGCGAACAGTCAAAACCGACGATAAATAAAGGCAACCTTCCCACCGGAACCCTTGCATCCTTGCTTCCTCGGTCCATCTCTAACCACTCGATGGCCAGCCTGCTCGAACAACCTTGACATGGGCGTCCAAGGTGCTTGCACCCTTTTCGCACGTCCTTGCTATCATAGTTGACTGTAGCCGATTCTCCTCCTCCGATCTGGGCGGCAAAAGAGACAGTGTCTCGGCGGCCTCTGGGCGTCTGGCTTTTTTGCTTGGCCGCCATGTGTCCGCTTCCCGGCCTCAGTCAGGATGAAGAGTTGGCCTTGAGAAACAGGTCGAGATCCATCAGGAGGGAAAACAACAACGTAGACATTAATATTCTCCGAATCCAAAGAAAAGGAAATTATGGGAAGTGGAGGGGAAGACAAACATCCAGAAAGTATGGAATTGGGTACCCTGGGATTTGTGTAGATTTATTTGTGTGCCCCTGGGCCCCTTCAGTCCCTGGGGGTGCCGCGTCATCCAACAAACAGAAATTCGACGTCGGTGGAGAGGGTCCTTCTCTTCGCTCTCCGCCCTCTTTTAGGGAAGAGATGTGCAAGGCCATTAATCCATTGATCGTACTCCTACGAAAGCTGGAAGGGAGGCGTTGTCTCATCTGTCCAGGGAGGGGAGCTACCCCTCAAAAGGAGTGGAAGCACCGCTGTTTTGTGATATTTCGATGCGTGCCCAGGCAAGACCTGGTCTCCATGGGTTCCTTCTTATTTTGCCCAGAGGGGATAGGCCCAGGGTTCTTTCGACGGGCCGGCGAATTTATTTGCTATAAATAACAAGGTCGCGCAGGGCCGGCAAATTAAAATTGATGATGTCCCGAGCGAAACGCTGGTTTTGAAATTCCGATCGATAAAACTCAGGGTGCGGGACACATTTGGGTCAGGGGTTCGAATCCGTATGTTTTTATGTGTGTTCCCATAGATTGGCCCTCTCCAGGGTCACGAATCCGTGTGTGTTTACATATGTTCCTATAGATTGGCCCTCTCCAGGAGGCCCAACGAGGGCCCAGGTCACCCAGGGGCCTAGATCATTGGGTACCAGATTCTTTCGGTCGCGGTCGATAGCGACCGATCGGCACTCCTAATCGGTCGCGGCTGATGCCGGAATTTGAAGCTAAGTTGCTAGCGACCGATCACGTCGGTCGCGACCAGAACATTCTGGCATCAAGGAGCAGGAGGGGAGGAGGGGGGGGGGGCAAAGGAGGAGGGGGGGTCCGTGGCACAGTGGCTGGAGTCCCGGGCCCCGCCGTGGAGCTCTGCCGCTTCGCTCGCGAGATGTGGTGGCATGAGAGGAGCAATACGCCAGGCACCCTCGCGGACATGGAGGCGCTGCTGCAGACGCTGCCGCGAGGCGACGAGGTGCAGGGGCTGGAGGAGTGCTGGACGGCTGGTCCGGACGAGCCTCAGGATGAGGATGAGAGTTGGAGCCGGCTGGGGTCGGAGGTGGGCCGGCACCGGTTGCAGGAAGGGTGGTCAAAGTTCCAGGTTTTGGGTTCGAGAAGTTGTTTCGCCTCTTTCGGTCGCCTGGACAGTCAAAAACGAGAACGAGGTGGAAAACCGCATCAGATAGACCCCAAGAGGGTCCGGTGGTCCAGTGACCGATTTTGAGAGGATTTGCTTTTATCCCTCTATCTTGACTGTTTTTTTCCGGGCCCATCCAGCTCAGACCCCTTGGCCGCCTCCAAGATGAGAGCGTGCGCCGACTGGGGGCCGAGCTGGCGATGCGCGGCGAAGAGTCGGTGGCCATCGTCTGCCACTGGGGCGTCATCAACCAGATGTGCAGAGTCAGTGCCCGAAACGCCGAGGCGGTGGTGTGCGAGAGGTTCCCGAGGAGCGGCCACCTGGCAGCCTCCCGAAGTTTCCTCCCGCCAGGGTGCCCAAGGACCTCTTGATGTCGGTGGTGGGCCTGTGCTTCGGAGCGTAGGATGCTCGCGGGGCAGCAGGAGCGCGCGGTCGGCGTCACCCAAACATACTAATACTACGTGTGCGTCGCCCCTACAGGGGCGATGCGCGCGCTGAGAAGTCTTATTGCGCGTAGCACCCCACAGTTGCGGATAAAAGTGGGGGAGCGGGCGCGGGGTGGATCGCTGGTGGGTCGTGGGCGGGTCGCGGGTGGGTCGGGGGGTGGGTCGCGGCTGGCTCGCGGCTGGCTCGCGGGTGGGTCTCGGGTGGGTCGCGGATGGGTCGCGGGTGGGTCGCGGGCCGGGTCGCGAGTGGGACGACGACAACAACAAGCAAGCTAACAAACAAGCCAACAATCAAACAAACAGCAGTAACCAAACTAACAAAAAACAGCACCGCCATCACCATCAACAAAAACAGCAAGAACGGCAACACGATTAACACCAACACAACAACGCAACCACAACAACAACAACATCAGCAACAGCAACAGCAACAGCAACAATGACATCAAAAACAACAACAACAACACCAACAACACCAACAACAACAACAACAGCAGCAACAACAACAACAAACACAGCACCACAACAGCAACAACATTAGTAGCACCAGCAACAATCAAACCACCAACAGCAAGAGAGCAAGAGCAGCAACGGCAATCGCAGCAGCAGCAACAACACCAACATCATAAGCAACGACACCACCAACAACAGCAACACCGACGAAATCAACAACAGCAACACCAACAATAATGAAACCAACAACAGCAAGCAGTTCAAGATTGATTGCTCTTATCTGCTCGCGTGCCATTCACCACGTGTATCCCAAACCATCGATGCCCGCCCTCTTCGCCTGTATGTCGTGCAGCCCCTCAGGCAGATGGAGAGAGGACGGATGGAAGGAAGGAACAAGGGGAGGGATGAGAATGGAGCACGAAAGGGAGTAGCAGGAGAGGGGGCTAGAAAGCAGAAACCACGCGGCAGAAACAGTATGGCAGATCGGGTGGGCAGACCCTAGAGGGCGGCTCGGGAAGGTGGGCCCAGGCGGCCAGGTTTAGAAGGTGGGTTGTTGAAGCGTGAGCCCTTCATGAATCGCGAGGAAGGCTCGTGCGGAAGCGCGAGTCCCAATTAAATCTTGAGGAAGGCCAAAGCGAGAGCGTGATTCCTGAATGTCGGGGGCGCGGTGCCTGACTAATTTACAAGGAGGTCCTACGCGAGTGCGCGATTCCGACATACATTGTGAGGAATCGTGCGCGAGAGCGCGATGTTGGAAGACATTGTGAGGAAGTGTTAGACAGAGGCCGTTGTTGTTGTAGCCCGGGCCAAAGATGCAGTTTAAGCACGAAGGTTTTTGTTGATAGAATCCGGGTGCGAACCCCGGGAGGGACATTTCAATTGGAACATACATTCTGCCCCAGAGGGTGGGATCAACCGCATTTATATGATAAGTGAGAGTCCAACAACAACAGCAACATCAATGGCAACATCACCAGCAACAGGAACAGCACCAGCAACAACAACAACAGCAACAGCAATCGGTTGAAACAAGTTTGCTCCTATCTGCCCGCGAAATCAACGAGTAATATCCCGAGCTCTCGGTACCCGCTCTCCTCGTCTTCGATCGTACCCCCATTTGGGGGTACATCTTCCTTACCTGCCACGTGCATTTAGCGCAGCCCCTAAAGCAGGGGAATCTCGAGAGGACGGATGCGAGAGAAATTAGCAGGAAGGGGGCTAGTGAGCAGAAACCACGTGGCAGAACCAGACGGGCAGATCGGGCGGGCAGACATTAGCGGGCGGGTTGGGAAGGTGGGCCCAGGCGGCCAGGTTGAGAAGGCGGGTTGCTGAAGCGTTAGTCCTGCATGAATTGCGAGGAAAGCTCGAGCGAAAGCGCGATTCCCAATTCAATCGAGAGAATGACCAAAGCGAGAACGTGACGCGGTGTCTGAATACCTTGCGAGCGAGGAATCTTGCGCGAGAGCGCAATGCTGGAATTCATTGTGAGGAAGTATCAGACGGGAGCCATTGATGCTGTAGCCTGGGGCCAAGTACACAGTTTGAGCACGAAGGTTGCGTCTGATAAAACAGGGTGCGAGCCCCGAGGGCGGCACTTCACTTGGAAAGACAATGTCCACGGGTGAGGGGGCACCAGCCATACTTGTTCTTCAAGAATGGGAATTCTGCAGCAACAACAACAACGCAACAGCAATCCGAAGCGCGGAACCCCGCTTCAGCCACGCACCCACGACCAGTGAATGACCGTTCGGCCCCCTCACCCTGATACGCTCCATGGCGGGCTCGTTCTGCACTACAAGACGGTTGTACTATATGTTGGGATCGGACGCGCGACTCCGAGGAGGACACGTAGTACTAGTATGTCTTTGTGCGCCCCATGCGTGCGGACGGGATGAGGAGAAAAAGTCCCGACCATCGTCTCGATGTCCAGCGCCACCGCCGTCAGACCAGAAACCAGTGCTGTCCTCGCCGCAGGCCCGTCGCCGCCCGTACCCTCGAGCCGCGCAGAATTCCGAGCGGGCGGCGCTTCGGCCAGCGGTGCCGCGCCAAAACAGCTGCAGCCAAGAAGCTGAAACGGACAGCATCGGGTTCAGGAGGGCCTCCTGTTTCCGAGCCGCTTCTCATATCGAGGTCGAGCAGTTTGGTTGCGGCCGAGGCTCACCGTGGCCAGAAAAGCCTCTTCTTCGTTCTTTACTCGGCGTTCATCATGGTAGCACGATGGCTGGTAGCACGTGGTCCGCGCGGGTTTCTCGGCTGCGCTTGCCACCCCCTGGGGCCGCATGCAGCGCCGCCCTTGGCGCGCTCCGCGCGCCAGGGAGTGGTGCTCAGTGCCGATCCAAGAAATCCGCGCGGACCTCTAAATGTTTATGTTCATGGCGTGTTAGACTTAAGAGGCTAACGCCATTCCGCCGACCCCCAGAGGAGGCAAGGAGTCAACAGTTCACCATCCATTTGGGCTTGATTGAAGCTTTCGTTGGCAGTCCAGTGGCCTTCGGCCCGTCCCGCCACTGTGCCTGGCTTGTGGGTCAGAGGCTGTGTGGACTCCAGCAGGGGTCGCTAGGGAAGCCTCTTGGGAGCTTCCTGGAGGCAGTTGTGAGGCCGTTCTGGGACCGTTTGGGGGCTCTTACGGGCCTCTTGGGAGTCTCTTGGGGCTTCTTGGTGGTCTATTTGACTTCTGCTTGCGGTCTCGGGTCTCCTCTTGGGGCGGAGGGCTCAACTTGTCAGCTTGAATTTCCTTTTTAGGCCGCTCTTGGGGCCCTCTTGGGCCGTGTTCAGCGCCTCTTTGGCCGTCTTGTGACCTTCGTGGGCCGTCTTGGGACCCTCTTGGGCCGTGTTGGGCCCCTCTTGGGGGGCCCTCGAGCCGTCTTGGTGCGATCTTTGGGGGCTTTTGGGGTGTTTCGGACGCTGTCAAAACTAAAAAGGCGAATCTACTAAACATACAGTTTTATCATGGGATTAGGACGATGTGTGACTCTTGGGGCCATCTTGGTGGTCCTCGCGGAGCTCTATTGGGGCGTCTTGGATGCTTATTGGACCGTCTTGAGGCTATCTAGGGTGTTTTTGAGACCTCCTCGGCGTGTTGAATCCCAGCTTGCGCAAGCTGTGATGGAATACTAGGCAGCTTGGAGGCAACGGAGTGGACATTTGAAGGCTCCAGAGGCCCCAGGGGTGCGTTGGGGAGCCCAGAGACACCCCCCTCCCTAGCCCCCTCCCCTTCAATCGGATTTCGAACCCTGGGGAGGGGGAAGGGGGCAGGGAGACAGCCAAACGTCTCACACGCGTTGTCACCCCCGGCAATCGGGGGTCGGGGGATTCCTTTCATTGAGCCATGAGAGGTCTGCCGGAGGGTCGTAGGTGAGCATATGTGATAATTAGCGCTTCGCACGTCGCCACCAGCCCATGCCAAAACGGTCACTGGGCGAGTGGCCCTGCTCAGGTGTGCGTGGCAGCATGCAGTCACGCTCTTCGGGACATCTTGTGGTCATGTTGGAAGCGCCTTCGGGGCCTTCTTGGGGCTCTCTTCCGCTTGGGGGCCTGAGGGGCGCTTTTTGGGCTGTCTTGGAGGCCATCGGTCAAAGAAGGTGGTGGTTTTAACTGCAGCCCCCCCTCCCGTCGGAGCCGAAACGTTGCCTCTTGGGAGCGCTCTTTGGGAGAGGTAGTAAGAACGGTCCCGATGGTGGGGTAGGGAATGGAGAGGGTAAGGGGAAGGTTTGGGGAGAGAATTCCTTGAACGACCTGCGCCCAGATGGCTGGTGCTGTTGCAGGGTCATTTGCAGGGTATTTCAGGGTGGTATGGCAGGGTCGTTCGCAGGGTATTGCAGGAGTCTGGTTTGCAGGATATTGCAGGACGACCGGTGGTTGAAAACGGGCACGCTGGAGGACCTCCAGTTTCTGTTGGAAGTCGCCCGACGGTTCGACGCCGCCGTGGGGTTGACGAAGAACGACGGCGACCGGCCCATGCGGGCAGGCTCCGGTTCCGCCGAGCACCTGGGTGTGATCGCCCAGCCGGCGTCCGGCGCCCGGCCACAGTTGCCGCCGCCACGAGACGGCTGGGGCCCCGTGGTGGGCGCCGGCGGGTTTCAAACGAAGAACACAGAGCCCGCGGTTCGCGCGGTGGCACCTGCGGAGGGCGGCCACCCTCTCCTTGCCACCCCCCACCCTCCTGGCTCGGGCTGCGGCGGCGGTGGCGGGGCCAGGTCGGAGCCCTTTCTGCCTCCGGGGGGCGCGGGGGTGTTGGGGCCGAGGTAAAGGCACGGCACTGGCAGGCATCACAGTTGCTCTGGCGGCCTCTGAGCAGGCGTAGAGCGTTCGCCCCGGCCAGAGGCCGGGGAGCATGCCGCAAGGCCGAAGGACGCCTAGTTACCGCATTTTCATGTCTCGGATGTTGCAGAATCGTTCCACATGGTGTTGCAGGGTATTTTTGCAAGGGTCTTTGCAGGGGGCTGTGCAGGGAGGCCAAGGAAGAGGGGGTAGTGGAAGAGGGGTACATTTATCCCCGAAGGAGAAGAAAGATATTCAAAGAGCTAATTCGTCAAGCCACCTACGCCTGAGGATCTGCTGAGGTTTTCGGTCCACCATTAAGCGTGCGCGTGCACGGAATCTTCGGACGCAGGCGGGTCCTGAAGCATTCGATCAGGTACGGCATTGCCAGCAGCTTCAGAAGTGTGCACGCCGTCATTCCCCCTTCCACCTCCAGTGCCTGTGCCGAGTCCTCTCCCGCTGTGACCCTAAAGTTGGCCCGGGTCGCTGACCTGGAGAAGCGATGGTGATAACAGCAGGAAGACGGGGAAAGGCCAGGGAAGGAGTCCGAGGGAGATGAGCATGGGCAGACGAGGGAGGAGCAGGCGGAGGAAAATGGGTGCGCTCAATTTGAGACAGGAAAACATTGACACGCAGAACGTTGGCAGATATCGGCATGCTCTGCGACGAACCCAGCAAAAGACCATCTCAATATTAAGAGATAACATCAGCCTATGATGCCTCGAGTGTGAATTCGCGAATACAGAAGAAGGCGGGGGAGAGTAAGAAGGAAGAGCTGGAAGAGGAGGAGGAGGAGGATGAGGTGGAGGAGGAGAAGGAGGTGAAGGAGGAGGAGGAGGAGGAGAAGGAAGAGGAGGGAGAGAGGACCACGACGTGGAGGAAGTGGGGGGATGGGGGGGTATCCAGGCACGTCATTGTGCTCTTGGCCCCATAGTTATAGCCCAGGGCGTTCGTTCGAAATGACCTGCTAGTTCGCTATTGGCGGCAATGCTTCGCTTCCTGGAATCTGAGATCCCAGATGTGGTGCAATCGCTCGCGCCACTGTCAGTCGGCCCGCCGGGTTTCCTCGAGGTGTCGTCAGTAGGTGTTCCATGGCCTTTCGGGTTCAAGACGCACTTTGTGTTAATTTGTTTTGGATGGTGAACCAATTTGAAAGGTACACTCGACCTTGCCAGTCGGAGCTGGCATGGAGGTCACCGTTCTGGCGCCTCCAGTCAGATGTCCGAGGCTCTGCAGAAGCGATGGTCAGCTGGCACATGGATGTTTATCATACGGAGCAGTTGTTGAGCTCTGCCTGACGTTCGGGATCGTCGTGTGCTCGGCGATGCACAGCAGCGCCAGCTTCGAAGAAGCCTCCGCCTGGGTGCCGATGGCGTCGCTCACCGTGGCGAACGCTTGCAGGAGTGGAGTGGCCGTCGTGGCGCAGCGTTTCAACCGTTGGGGGCCGGCTGCCGCCCTGTCCTTGCTCGTCGCCTCATGCGCCATACTCGTGTGGCACGTACTCATCATTGACAGCTTGCTGCGCTCGTCGCAACCTCACAATGATCAGAGCAATGGCGCAGAAGTGCTGGCTTTCATCCTGGCCTTGGCCGCCAGCGCGTTATCCACCACCATGTGGTACGCGGCCACGGGTTATACACACATCCTGACGGACAAGGGCGAGGACCCGCCGCCGAGGCCAGAGGTGGAAACGTTCGTGGTCCACGACGTCGGTTCGGAATGTTTGGGCTCTATCTGCGCCATCTGCCTGGAAGAGTTCTCACCTGGCTGCCTTGCAGGAAAGCTGCCTTGCACTCATGTGTTCCACGACCGTTGTGTGCGCAGCTGGCTTTACACCGGATCTTTCCTGGCTAGGTGCCGGTGCCCAATGCGTTGCCCAAACGATGCAGGCGCAAACCAAGGCAGTCGCCCTCGTCAGAGTGAACCGTCTATACTTCTTGAGAGTGGACGTTCCACATTTGGAAGAGAGGTGGACTCCACAATATGGGTTGTGCCATGGTAGCGGGGCGGGACTGAAGCCACGGCTGTTTGCGCTAATCTATATAGGCGTCGTGCTGGATCCATGAAGGGTCGCACGGTTGATGTTTTTGGCGCGGCTCGTTGTCATTGATCAATTTTGTTTCGTTATCGGCAGTGCCGCTTCTTAATAGCAGCGGACGTTCACGCAGCACGGAGGTTTGATTCTCGATTGGTCCGCATACCAATCTCTTGCTGGGTGGTTCTTCGGATAGAATCTGCGTTCCTCTGACCGCGGCGCAGTATTGATGACGTTTTTGAACGAAACGGAAGACGACGTCGTCAAGGACGACGATGACGACGAAGAGGACGACGACGACATTGAAATCAAGGACGACGACAACGATCAAGACGACGTCAAAGATCAAGGACAACGACGACGACCGCGACGATGACAATGGCGGCGGCAACGACAGCGACGATCCATTCCGCGACCCAGCTCCGAGTGGAGACGTCGTCGTCGTGTCTGGACATCCGAAGTGGGTACAGAAAAAATGGGTACGATGCCCAACAACAACTGTTGTCCAAAACCGGCAGCGGCCGCTGTTGGGCAGACGGCCATCTGTCTCAGATGGACAATGTCCGCGGCGACGCCGACAGCGAGCCTTGCGCAAAATGGACAGAAATTTGTGTCGGTTTTCGTACCCATTCTTTTCGTACCCAGTTCGATCGCACCAATGTTTTCGCTCCGAGTCTCTTACTTGTCCTGTTTCCCTGTGCGCATCGTCTCCCCCGTGATCGCCACCAAGCGCTGTCCTCGAGGTAGGCCCGTGTCAAGGGCAATTGGAACCAAGCCTTCCAGGGGGCATGGCTGGCCTTGGCGCACATGAGTTGCTGCCGTTGGTCCTCTCGTTCTCCTTGCTCTTCCCCAGACATCCGGGCGTGCCTCAAAAAACGAGACATTGGTTTTCATAGCCTCTGGGGGCCTTTACAGGGCCTTGAGACCGACTTACATCGACTCGGAAGGAAAATCCAGTCCCAGGGAGATGGTCGAGGTCGGGGGCCCGTGTCTCGAAAAATTCTGGACGTTGGATGTCTGGGTCTGTCGCTCCTCAGCGGACAGATGTTCACGCTGTATCGCTTGCCAGGACATGTCGGCCGAGGAGACCAGAGAATTCATTAACTCTGGGTTCCCTCGCTGCGCTGGCATCTGAAGTTCAATTGGACACTGCGCTATGAAGAAAATATTCCTGTTGTCTCCGAAGTGATTCCTGATAGGCTCCCGCAGTTCCTAGACAGAGTGCGCTGCAGGGCAGTTCGTCTTTTCCGTCTGCCCGCAGCAAGCCTTGCCACGGTGCCAGCGCGGCATAGAAATCGATAAAGGATATTTCCACCGAGCTCTTCCGTAGAGGCTCGGTGGATCCATCTTGGGGTTGTCCAGATGGCAGCGCTACTAGCTTGTTGCGGCTGCGACGTAGCATGGCTGGTATTTGAGGAGTACTTAGAGGCCTATTGTGGGCTGCCTGGGGACCTCTTTGGGGCCTCTTGTGGGCTTCGTGTGAGTTTCTTTGCGGCCGCCGCTTGCGGACTTCTGAAGGGCCTTATCGTGGCATGGTGGGAGGTCTGGGAGCCGTCTTGAGAGCAACGCTCCCATCAAACAATCCTGAGGAGGGGCCAGATTGGGACCCTCTTCTTGGGGCGGCCGAGGCTATGCTCGGGGGATCGTCGGGCCGTCTGGGTTCGCTTTGGGGGCTGATTGGGCCAGCTTGAGCCAAGCAGTGTCAGACCAAAGAACGAGGAGAGCCGGTTGTTTGTGAGTGGAGGTTTCTGGGTATCGTTGAGCTTTCGGGTAGTCTGTTGGGCTGCTTGGCTTGCACTCGTGTTGGTGCCGTTCTCGAGGCCGTCTTGGAGCTCTAATTATTGGGTTGGTCTTGCGTCGACTTCGGCGAGCGATCTCTTGGGTACGCTTATGGCGAAAGGGGGGAGTCCTTGAAAGCTACAGAGACCCTACCATACAGCCCAAGCAGCGTTCTAGCACGCCCACGCGTGCCGAGGGTGCGGTTGCGGGTTCACTGGAGCAGTTGATGTGGAGTGGTCTTGCTCACGCGTGGCCCCTTCCTGGATCTCAGACTTTCAGGATCAGATTTGGTTGCTGCGGTTCGCTTGGCCCTTCGAGGCACTTCCGCGGTGGTCATCTTGACCCTGGCACTTCGGACCTTCGGGGCTTGGCTTGGCTTGGCCTTCTCCACGATGTGGGGCGATTGCTGGAGTTGTAGTGGCCCGTCATGGACATCTGGTGGCTTTGGGAGCTGGGGAGTCGATGTGGAGTCCCCCCACGCTCGAGGCCCTCCTACCCTCCCGCATCCCAGTCGCTGCTGGCTGCGGCCCAATTCCCAGAATGCCCGTGCTCTTTCGCGGCCTCCTCGCGGCCCTGTGACCTGCTGGATCTGACTCGGTGGCCCGAGTCGTCGTGGGGATTCCTGGCCCTATGGTTGCCCTATGGCTTTCTGGGTTAGCTGCCCGAGTCCTCGGTGGTCCTGGGAGCATGATCGTCCAGGAGTGCACCGATACCGAATCCACGATTTGTTGCCTAATGTCTGGATCGGCGTGTCGCTCGTTCCTTGTGTGAGGGCGGTGCCAGGAGTCCGTCCAGAAGAAATGTGTCCTGTAAGCGGCGACGTGGCACACGAAGCGTCGGGCAGCGACAGCTGGGGCGGGGCAGAGCTCATTGCGCATCAAATCGAAAGGGTAAAGGAGGTGAGCGGCCGCGGAGGAGGGCGAAGGTGGGCGCCGTGTTCAGAGCGTGCAGCACTTTGCGCGAGGTGCAAGCGGCCTCAGGCGCTAGCAGAAGTCATGCGTGCATCCAGAGAGACATCAATCGGATTTGCGGCGGGAGAGAGGATGCCCCCCTCTTCCCTCCCAACCCCTTCCTCCAGCCTCGACTCCCCTCCCTCCCCCTCCCACCTCTCCACAGCCTGATCGGTTGAGCGGCCGAGTAGAGATTCGCAGCCACGGGCTGCTTGCGCATCGTTTGATCGCGCCCCAGCTGGCCAGTCGACGAGAGCTCTGATGCGTTAGGATGATTGGTTGTGTATGTGTGTATGTCGCTTGTGCCTTGTCGTACTTGTCCCCCCCCCCTCGCTGGTGCGTGCCCACCCGTGAGGTCGCTGTTTTTTTCCCGGAAAGGGCGGGGGCCCAGGGTTCTCGTTTAGTCGTTTACCCCCGGTTTTGACTTCAAGGAGGCTGGCGGATCTCCGCTCGACAACAAACTAGGTAAAGTCCAATTCGGCGTGAACAACATGCGTTTCGCGCGTGCCCGCTCGACCTCGGATCCTCGATAAATAACGGGGTCTGCGGACCACCGTTCTCCTTCGTAAAAAATTGTGCGGGCCATTTTTAGCAGAATCTTCAAAAACATGAAGACTGGAGCCCCGACCGCGACGCGGAAAAGCGTCCCGCGCGCAGGAATTCCGAGGATGTCTCGCGCGTGCCGCGTCCCGCGCGCAGGAATTTCGAGGATGTCTCGACTAACTCCTTTGTTCCAGGAAAGGGCATCAGCCCATGGTTCTCTTTTAGTTGGTTTGCCTCCGGGCTTGGCTTGAGGTGGGCCAGCGAATTTCTTTTGCGATAAATATCGAGGTCGAGGTGGGCCGGCCAATTATAATTTGAGGATGTCTTTAGCGAAACGCTTGTGTTACAGAATTTGTTGAGGATGTCTCGAGCGAAACGCTGGTTTTGTGTTATTGATTGTCCTTTCCTGGGGGCCCGAATTCAGAGGATCTCTCAAGTGAAATGCTTGTGTTCGCGTGCCCAGGTCTTGAGGATATCTCGAGCGAGACGCTTGGTTTCACGCCTTCAGGTTGCCCAGACAGATGTCTAGCAAGGACATGTGCTGAGGATGTCTCGAACCAGAGGCTTGTTTTCACGTGTCCAGGTTGCCCAGGCGGATGCCTAGCATCCTCGATGTGTCGAGGAAATTTCGATCGAGACGCTTGTTTGCACGTGTCCAGGTTGCCCAGGCGGATGTCTAGCATGAGGATGTGTTTTCACGTGTCCAGGTCGCCCAGGCACAGTACAGCCCTCGGCACGGTACATCAATATCGATACCCTTAGCATTGCAGCCTGGCATGTTGCTTGGCACGTTCCGCGGAGCGTCCCGTGGCGAGTCCAGCTGGCACGTCGCGCGTTGCACGTCCATTGGCACGTTCCGTAGCGCGTCCCCTTGGCACGTCCCGCGGTGCGTGCCCATGGCACGTCCCCTGGCACGTCGCCTGGCGCGTTCCTTGGGACGTTCCGCGGCGCGTCCTCCTGGCATGTCCCCCTGTCGATCAGTTCTGGGGCAGCTACCATCTGCCCAGGCAGCTCGAGCTTAAGGTCCAGATCAGTTCGGTCAGGACTCGGATGCAAATGAGGACTCGATCCACAACCCTATATAGAGCACAATCGCGGCATGGCACATCGCAGTTCAGCACAGACCAGCACAGCACAGCCGTCGGCACGGTACATCAAGATCGATACACTCAACATTGCAACCTGGCACGTTCCGTGGCGCGTCCCGTGGCGAGTCCACCTGGCACGTCGCGTGGCGCGTCCCCTAGCACGCCCCGCGGCACGTCCATTGGCACGTTCCGTAGCGCGTCCCCTTGGCACGTCCCGCGGTGCGTGCCCATGGCACGTCCCCTGGCACGTCGCTTGGCGCGTTCCTTGGGACGTTCCGCGGCGCGTCCTCCTGGCATGTCTCCTCTGTCGATCAGTTCTGGGGCAGCTACCATCTGCCCAGGCAGCGCGAGCTTAAGGTCCAGATCAGTTCGGTCAGGACTCGGATGCAACGAGGACTCGATCCACAACGCTAAAGAGCACAATCGCGGCATGGCACATCGCAGTTCAGCACGGCGTAGCACAGCACAGCCTTCGGCACAGTACATCAATATCGATACATTCAGCATTGCATTTGCCCGTCGCCCAATGCCATGCGATGCATTACATTTCTATATTAATTTCTGGGTTCGTGGGTCGATCATGTTTTTCAGGATTTCTTCGGCCACACAAGGGTTACCTAACATTTTCTGCTAGAGCGTGAACATGCTGAGTTTTTGCGTGCCCGCTCGAGGATGGTGCGCCCTCCGCGCCAAAATGTCGAGGATGTCTCGAGCGACACGCTTGTTTTGCAAAATGTGATGGACCTGGGCGCTCCAGTACGCCCCAGGAGGCCCTGGGAGCGGGACGCGGCGTAATCTAAGAGGGATCGTGGCGTTTGGAGCGCGGACCACGCGTAATTTGCAAGGGATCGTGGCCCTCGGGGAGCGGGCGCAGCGTAATTTACGAGGGGTCGGGGCCTTGAGAGCTCGGACGCAATATAATGTATGAAGGATCGTAGCCCTTGGAGCACAGGCGCAGCGTAAAATACAATGGATCGGGGCCCTGGGGGCTCGGACGCAGCGTGATTTACTAGGGATCGTGGTCCTGGGAGCGCGGACGCAGCGTAATTTACAATGGGTCGGGGCCCTGGGAGCGCGACCCAAATGTAATTTACGATGGATCGTGGCCTTGGGAGCGCGGACGCAGCGTAATTTACAAGCGGTCGGGGCCCTGGGAGCGCGGCCCCAATGTAATTTACGAGGGATCGTGGCCCTGGAAGCGCGGACGCATCGTAATTTACAAGGGATCGTGGCCCTGGGAGCGCATCCCGTGGCACGTCCATTGGCACGTTCCGTAGCGCGTCCCTTCGAAACGTCCCGCGGTGCGTCCCCGTGGCACGTCCCTTGGCACGTCGCCTGGCGCGTCCCTTGAGACGTTCCGCGGCGCGTCCTCCTGGCATGTCCCCTTGTCGATCAGTTCTGGGGCAGCTACTATGTGTTGAAATAGCTCGAGCTTAAGATCCAGATCAGTTCGGTCAGGACTCGGATGCAAATGAGGACTCGATCCACAACCCTATATAGAGCACAATCGCGGCATGGCACATCGCAGTTCAGCACAGACCAGCACAGCACAGCCGTCGGCACGGTACATCAAGATCGATACACTCAACATTGCAACCTGGCACGTTCCGTGGCGCGTCCCGTGGCGAGTCCCCTTGGCACGTCGCGCGGCGCGTCCTCTGGCACGTCCCGTGGCACGTCCATTGGCACGTTCCGTAGCGCGTCCCCTTGGCACGTCCCGCGGTGCGTCTTCGTGGCACGTCTCTTGGCACGTCGCCTGGCGCGTCCTTTGGGACGTTCCGCGGCGCGTCCTCCTAGCATGTTCCCCTGTCAATTAGCTCTGGGGCAGCTACTGTGTGCTGAGGCAGCTCGAGCTTAATATCCAGATCAGTTCGGTCAGGACTCGGATGCAAATGAGGACTCGACCCACAACGGC